TATATATATATATGTATGTGCATATTACTTTAATTGTCATTTTTTACATTTATTTATTTGTTTGTATTTGAAATATCTACATTAGCAAAGTCTGTAATATTAGTTGGAAATATTAAATCGATTATCACAACCATACCGAATTATCGTCAAATAACGGAATATCATATTGATTGACGTTTTAATGGATATTACGAGAATAGCATTCAACAGCTGCCGTAATATTTTATACGTGTATTTACTGCGAACGGATGATTGCCGTTTAACAGTAAATCCGTTTATATCGCGGAAGAGATATCGTGAGAGGTAAATCGCACATGGTCGAGATCACTTTCACCACTCGTTGAATTTTGCGAAATTATGCGGAACTCGAAACGAGAATCGATTAACCATCGCGTGCCAGAGGCACAGCATATCATGCCACTATTCACTGTCGCTCTCGTGCGATTTGACTCGAGTATTTTCACGCCAACGAAGATGTACATTTACTTGCAATTTTGAGGAAAGAAAATCTGTCAATATATATATCACTACTTTTCAAGATAAGTATCTGAGCATAATATGTGCAAGCGTTTAAAAGAATAATTTCTTAATTAATATTTCCTAATTAAATTTCGTTGATTATTTATAATTATAAAAGCAATAATATGCGTTTAACCTCCTAATATCAATGTAAACCGCTTGTGTTGTGCGTCTTTGAACAAAAGCTTTGTGACTCTTATTAGAGGTTTGAGCTTATCTCACCGGAAAAGGCCAAGACGAGGTGTCAGTGTCTGAGGCGATAATGCCGCATTCGTTACGTTATCGCGAGCGAAATTGCATCCGCGCGCAAGTCTGCATAGTTCGTCGCGCTTACCAAGCGTGGTCACGTTGTAACTGTTGACATTTTCGTACGTTCCGTTACTGGAGTCGTGACGGAGAATACCGACGCAGGATAGAAAGGACGTTGCGTAAAACGTGCGCAGCATTTAAATGATTCCGAATATGTCATTGCGAATCGAATCATCGCTCATAAGGATCGGCAATATTGAAAATTGATAATTCCTGATTACAGCCTATTTCGATAATTAAATCGTTCCTTTCAGAAAGAACGGTTTAAATTCTCAAATTAGGCAATATCTATGAATAACTCGTCAATTTCAACTGTGAATTCGTTTCCTACAACTTTATCGATTATTTCCCCCTTAAAGGTTACGTCGTTTTAAAATAATCTTTCTTTCAATGAAGTAAGAATTGTGAAATTAAAGTTATATATCGAGTAACGAAAAATAGAGAACCAAATAATAATCTTTGATAATTGTAATATCTTACAAAACGATTTTTAGACCAGTTAATTTCTTTGGATTGAGGTAAAAAAATAAAAATCGAGCAGACTGTGGTAAAATAACCTAGATTTTAACAATAGTAAATGTGGGATAGAAGGAACCGAATATTTGTTATTCGAGTGGATAAATCTCCGTCGCAATCCGGCTTTTACCATCGACTATGCGCGTCGAGGAGTTTTAAATTACGCCGGCATTGTACGAGTACAATGTGCTGTCAGTGTGTCCAGAAAGACAGGAACGAGCGCGTATCCTGCGGACGATTTAAAATGGAATCTACGTTAACCATGATTATCGCGATTAATAAATCTAAATGCAAATTATTTTTAGGAAGTTTTTCGAATGAAAAAAGTAAATGCATTTAAGATGTTGGTGGAGCAAAAACAAAAACAAAAACATTTTCACTTTACCTAATTGAGATTAATTTTCCATGTTTCGTGTTTCAATAGAATCGACAAGTATACACTGGGTAATACAAAAAGAAATAAAAACGCTTCAAAGAAAAATAAAATATGATAAAACATCAATTGCGACAATATTTGATACAGAGATATATGTAGATGCATACAATGTTGATGCGGCACGCCGTTATATACTCTTTTGCAAATACCAATCAAGTAAAATTTAGAATCTATAAAATTGAAGTATTTCAAATTAATAAGCCGTATTATATATACATTGCAATAGTATATAATATTACGCTATATATTATTGTATGACATTTAAATATGACATTCATTAAATTGATAAAATATCTCCTGATATAGACGTCACAAGCAGACAATGCTAACATTTTCGAAATTAGCGCATCGATTTACTTCAAAATCTGCGCACAGAACATTTCTTCTGAAAATATAGAATTCTCAAAGTGTAATATTTGAATCGTTCTTTGTAACTTTCGAGCTTGTTGAATATTAAAGTTTGAAATCATTTTAAATGCAACATAACCAGTTCACAAACAGTGAAACGAGGCGAAATACAGAGAGATTTATACCCGTTCGCTTCCGCGAGATACGAGTACGGAAAGGAAATGCGAGGAAAGATCCTATATAATATATGTGCATTCTCACATCTTCACGTTTGCACGAAACGAAACGAAACGAGACGAGACGAGACGAGACGAGACGAGACGAGACGAGACGAGACGAGACGAGACGAGACGAGACGAGACGAGACGAGACGAGACGAGACGAGACGAGACGAGACGAGACGAGACGAGACGAGACGAGACGAGACGAGACGAGACGAGACGAGACGAGACGAGACGAGACGAGACGAGACGAGACGAGACGAGACGAGACGAGACGAGACGAGACGAGACGAGACGAGACGAGACGAGACGAGACGAGACGAGACGAGACGAGACGAGACGAGACGAGACGAGACGAGACGAGACGAGACGAGACGAGACGAGACGAGACGAGACGAGACGAGACGAGACGAGACGAGACGAGACGAGACGAGACGAGACGAGACGAGACGAGACGAGACGAGACGAGACGAGACGAGACGAGACGAGACGAGACGAGACGAGACGAGACGAGACGAGACGAGACGAGACGAGACGAGACGAGACGAGACGAGACGAGACGAGACGAGACGAGACGAGACGAGACGAGACGAGACGAGACGAGACGAGACGAGACGAGACGAGACGAGACGAGACGAGACGAGATGGATGCATACGACGATGCACACGCGCGAGATTTCGTGCAAAATGCGCGAGCATGTGGCCTCGTGCGTATCATGAGTGTTACGGCCAACCATCTATCGGAAAAAGGAAGAAGAAGAGGAAGAGAGAGTCGTACATGAAAATTACATACCCCGTTTGTGTGACTTGCGCTTAAAAGGCCTCGGACGAATAACTGTAGTCAGCTAAAAGCCTCTTGTACGTCAATGACACGTTTACATCTCGTAGCCTACATGGAAGTGTAATACTTTTCCACGTTTTCGATATTCACTCGCTTTGTTACACAATTGTCGTAGAAACCCTCAAAATTAAGATAGATACGCGGTCACTTTGATAATTATTAAATTAATTGATGTTATTTTCTTATTATTGGAAAGTTTATTACAATTATCCCCCTGTTACGCAATCGCATCGTGATTTATCTTATAAATATCTTAACAATACAATTAAATAATGAATCATGATAAAATTCACCTTAGCTGCGATGAATTTCTTCGAGAACGTTTCTGCCATAATAAGCATACATCACTTCCCATCTGATCGGCACCGATTATATTTTCTCAAGAATACATTAAATACATTCAGGATAAAACTTGAAGCGAAATATACGAAGAAATCTGTTTTTTTTTTTTTTCTTTTACTTTACACGTCACTGTGATGCATTTTCACTGCACTTTTATTTTACACCGTACGATACGAAAAGTTTCACTATCACGTTATATCTATCGTCACTTTTTGAAAAAAATCACGAACGATGCATCCAGGAAAAATTTCCAATATAATCCTTTTCAAGTTTAAACGCACAGCTTCACAATTCACCGACAAAAAGAATTCGTCGAACGTCGATAACATCAAGAAATTTTTAACGTATTAAAACGGGTACATCAATTATAATTTGATTTAATTATTACAAAATTAAGTCCATATACTTGTCAAATTCAGTGCCTTAAACTAAAACTAAATTTTTCAAATACGATTAAAATACGGCATTTCTCGTCAGTTGGAGAAAAAATAAAGACCGGTCGACCTTTGGATGTTAATATGATAGTCGGGATGACATTTGCATCTGGAATTCCAACTGGTTTGTATCGTCAGCAGGTTTGTATTCGAACGCAAGTATGTGTGAAGAAACGAAAAAATAAATTTGTTCTGTGTTATGCACTGGAGAACAGATTTATATTAAATGAACGGTAATCATATAATATTAATTTATCATTTATTTTTAATCGGAGCTCAACTAAAGAAAGTACAACGCGTTAAAAGCAAAGTATAAGAAAATCAGCATTATTTAACTGAATTATTTCTTAATATTTTTACTGAAAACTTGGCAGTTTTCATAACTAAAAATATTAAAAAGATATAATAATAATGATAAAATTTGCATAAAAATTTCTCGTGTAATCTCATTTATTGAGCGTTATATTAAAGAGAAAAATATAATGTAATGTTTTTTTAAAAGAATACACTTTGCAGTTATATAAGAGAATGTTTATTGCCACAACGAAAGTAGATGGAAATAAAGATCGTTATTTTTGCAACTTTACTTCATTATTACACAAGCTAATCTTATATATTGTATGGTAAAAAAAAATATCGTTAAATACCAAACACAATAAATTTTAACAAACGTAGACGTATTTTAAAAAATAACTGCACGGATTTTTGAGATTTGCGTCAGTTGCATGCAAGTGAACATTTACAGTCCGACCATATTGATATAGAAAAAATAACATAGTACAAACAACAATTCCGTCAAATGCACATCTTTCTTTATAATGAAATATTATTTCAATTTCCGAAATGCGAATTAATTAAACATTAAATTACAAAGATTTGCTTGAATTATATAAGGTTAACATACACCAATTTTAAAATAGTGCTTTCAGATACTACTTGAGTAAAGTTACTTTGATTTTATGTACAGATTTTCGCGAGAACTGTTGCAACTACAAACTACCATTTTATTTGAGTGCTATGTCCTCGTACACTATCACACATGTCACAAACATTTTTCAACTCAATTGTAAAAACGAGTAATATTAAAAAATTCACTCAATATACGGAATTGCACGCGACACAATTTTTGAAAAATAAAAACGTGCGATGGACACTATCATTCATTGGACGATCCAATATTTCAAGGTCGAGAGGTCAATCCTTTCAAAATCACGATTCAATCTATAACAATCGTGTCATATTTCTGGGCCAACTATCGATAAATCACGGTAGCACATGCATCTGAAATGTCATCTCTTTCACCGCACGATTGAATTGGCGAGTCGTTTGTCCGATAGACTTCATGACAAGGAATCCGATGGAAACGCGTGAATTTAATTTACGAGATCGTGTAACGGTGCACTGTTAACAATAATTAATTAATTGGAACAATTATTAAAGGCATAGCAATTTGCGCTACGGCAACGACTAGTTTTTCAACCACGCATTGTATTTTCTTATCACCATGTGATGCATTCACAGATAGACAGTCACTGCAGAAATATGCGTACACGATAAAATCATATGGTCCGCGCGACGGAGACGATCATCGTTTGGAACGCGAGGAAGCCGAAGCACCGGTGAACGCGCGACTGGCCCGAAGGACCCGGTAAGAGGTCCCTTTACTGTACCGGGGCCCGATGATACGGCGAACGCACGGCGCGGTCGCTAATGGCCAATGGCGCACGGATAAGAGGAAAGGATGTAGAGGATCCTAGGAAGGATCCCCGCAATGTGAAAAAAGAGAAACTGGCCATCTCGTTGTGACGAGTGAGTACGAAGCCAAAGGATAAGAATAATGCAAAAGAAAGAAAGAAAAAGAGAAAAAGAGGAAGAGAGAAAGAGAGGAGAGAGAGAAAGGAAAAGAGGGGGTGGAGGCGAGTTTGGCAGAGGCCGGTCGAGCACCTGGGCGACATTACCTCCTCACATCTTCCGACTGCTCCAGGCTTCTTCGTATTCCGATTCGCTCTCTCTTTCTCATTCTTATTTTATCAAATGTTTTATTGTATCCATCGAATATAATAATGTAATCTTGTTAGCGAGTCAAAAATATTCGATTTTTTCTCCTCTATTACGCTGTAATTATTTCATTCACTCACTAATTAATGAAGCTACTTATTATCCTCAAGTCGCGTTTACTTAAATTTAAGGTATTTGTAATATGTGCCGTTTTTCTCAACATTTTAATTAATAGATTGTTTAGTATTATTTTTGTATAATTACTTCATTATCGCATAAACAAATTTTACCTATTTAATTTTATATGTTTTATTTCAATTTTGATACAACATCCTGCACGAGGACGCGCCTTATTCCGTCACGGAAGATCAAGCGCGTTTCACGTCAATAGTAATCATTAAACGTAATAAACTGAGCAACGCTCTATATAATTATTTCGTAACTTTTTGTATCTTCTGTTATTTTGGCACGTTTATCCGCGGTGAGTTTACAGAATATTGCAAATTTCTTTAATATTTAATCGTTTATTTTTAAACGACTCAGTGAAAAAGCAGATTACATGTATGATCAACAAATGCAGTTCGAATAAACTTCACACACCAACCATAAATATTATATATTATGATAAATTATATATACATATATATTCCTGCGTGAGAAGCATAACATAAAAGATTTAAAAAATATATTGTGATGCGTGTTTTGTTTCTAAACGTACAATCAGTTATTCAGCCTTTGATTTAAATTTTAAATCATTCATGATTATAAATATTTCTGTGAAATGAGATAGTCGTAACATGAGACGTTCGAAATACATCTATTAATAATGAAAGAGTTAAAGAGACCAAGATTTTGCTAACAAAATCTCCACACTATGAAGTGATAAAATCATTGGAATGAATCCTTTAAAGTTCATGGTAAGAATACATACTTGCCACCTGTTATGTTTAGAGGTTTATATAGCTCTACTAAATTACTCTTGACTCTAAAAGATAGATTTTATCGTTGTATCTCTTAGCCTTATAGAAACTATTAAAGGAAAGGATTAAAAAAAAAAATGAGATATATATTGGAAAGAAATGATTGTACGTATCCTGTCTTAGAACCACGGGTAACGAATCCGTACCTGGCGCCATGGTGTGTGCCATGGGACGTGTGTGGTTGCCGGTTGCACATCGGCCGATACCCAGTCTCCAGTCTGGCTGCAGCTGCGAACCGGTTATATACTTTCATCTGGCAGTCTTAGCACGGTCCCTAAAAGAGAACCCGATGACTATAGCTTGCGGTGCGCGAGACGTGCGAGGAAAAGAGAAAGGAGAGAGAATGCTAGGGAAGGGGTTAATGCCTGAACCAAGGCACGCTTATGCAGCGGAATAAAGGACGTCCAACTCTCTCCCCCACTCTTTTATTTCTTTTTTAAATTTTAATTTCGCTACATTTCTTCGGATACACCGGCAACACTCTTTTGACGAGAAAAGAGAGAGAGAATTGCATACTTAACCGTGAGTGGACAATCGTTCGAAAAACTCTACGCTCGAGCTGTAGGATGATAATCCGAAGGTAATATTTGATGAGATCATATGACGGTTAACTTTGGCCACGATGAAAAGCACATCCTGTTTGGCTGGTAATATATATCTATCGCATATTTGCAAGCTAATTTGTAGACTAAATAGATTAATAATTTTATAAAATGCCAAAAGCAATATTGAATTAAGAGCTATTTTTGAAAACAAATTAAATATATTTTTTACAAATTAATTGTGAAAAATTAAATTTGCTTTACCACACATGTTTTTTGTAAAATTGAAGCAAAACATTAAAAAAATTGTGCTTATTGTGCTAAATTGTGCTCAACATACTAAATATATGTGTTATTTTAGAAAAATAAAGATTTTTTATAGTGTTCGTATTATTTTCAAATTTAAATTTACTGCAATTATGCATTCTATATTATATCCTTAAAATATTATACAGTATAATATTTTACAGAATATTGAGTTCAATGTTCATCTCTCTCAAAATTTAGCGATTTGCAATACATCGATTTCAACCTTTAGAAATGTTAATATAAGTTTCGCGATCAAAAGAATGGCGATCACTAAATCATGTTGACTTTTTTTGTTCTGTAAATTCTTGTCGCAAATAAAAAATGGAAAAAACAGATTGAGTTGTAAAGAGACACGGTACATTAATAGTTTATCTTCTGTCCCTTAAAAGAGCATACGATAGCAGTAGTGGCATTGTACGAGGAAACATATAAAATAACTGTAGAGAAGAAGGAAGAATTGAGAAAAATTGATGCATATACTAAAGCAGTTTTAACAAAGTTTTATTTTTGTTTGAGCTATGATTCGTACAATGCCACTTTCCTTTTGGTGAGTCCAGTATCAAACCATGGCATGGCAATGATCAATGACATTTTGACATGAAAAAAGAGACATAATTTCTAGAAAATCGGTAATGTTTCGAAAAGATAATTAAACTTTATATTAGAATCGTTGATCGTAAGAAGACTTACGACCGGTAGACGTCAAAAGAAACTTCAATAGCGCGCCTGTGCATTCAATGTCTTACATCATCCTAAACGATGACATACTTTTTCAGAATTATTGATATGTTGTCCCAATTTTATTCAAAAAATTTTTCATGCCTTGTCCACCATATAAGCGATGTCAAGGTCTACTAGCTCGATTTCACGTTTGTAAAGAACATGTAGGCGATAGATTATCGTGAGTAGTAATTGGTACAAAAGGCCTTGAGACATGAATGGTGATATTTAAGAAGAAATTTTCAATGGAAACGCTTGAAACAAATTCGAAATAATTGCAAAAAAGTATAACTTGAAGACTTAAATCAATATAAAAAAACACACACACGCGCTAGATTTATGTCCTGATAAATACATGATAATAGTTTGCCCCATTTTTTGAAAAAATAATAGGCTAATCGCAAATCTGCATTTTATGTTATTTTTTCTATATAAAAATTATTTATTTTATGTATGCCATATTTGCATTATTTTTTATTTTAAGAGTGTAATATTAGCTTTGATCCTATAACTCTATTGATTGCTCGAAATTATCTTTACGTATCTTGTCAACGTTTTTAATGATCTTTTTCTAAACTTTACATTTGCATTTATTTTAAACTTTTATCTGGTTGTATTTTTATTATATAATATATTTCTATGTGTAAAAAATATAATTATAACTTTAATATTTAAAGTACAGTAAGAAAACAACTTGCGGCATCTGACATTCAATGTTGAAAGTAGAAATTAACTTGACCGGTTGATCAGCTTCAAACAAACTTAACTCACAGTAGGTATAAGGCGACTTTATAAAGCCCGATAGACCACCATATTTTTCTGCATTTAAACACGTATCCTCTGTCACAAATTCTCTATGGATGCAATACTATTTGTTGTTAACATCTCTTGCAGATAATGTAGGATTTTTACGATATTGATATTAGACAAATTAATTCAAAAATCAATTTTCTTCGTATTTTCATAGAATTTATATAATTTAATATAATGACTTATATATAATACAAAATACATCATGCAAAAGGAAAATATTATTTGCGAATATACAATATCATTAGCTAAAATTATGTAAAAAAATGCATAAAACTAAATAAAAATGATGAAAACCATTTTCTTGTTTACATTCTTTCTTCTTTCTATACACATATTATTATTTTTTTTAGAATATATTATTAATTTTAGAAGATTTTTAGGATCAAGTTTTTTAGATGGTATTAATATTCTTATGACATAAACTGGTCTTTTTTATATCCCGCAATAGACCATTTTGTGTATTTGTGCAATCTTTTTTATATTTTCAATAAGTGTCATTGCTCCTAGATAATATTTGTACATATCTTTAAATTAGATTTTTTAATTCTTTTACTTTTCGCAAAATTCGTTATGCAGCCGTGCGTTCTAAAGTTAATTCATTGCATTAATAAATATATTATCATGATTCAAATATTTGTATCTGAAGATTATTAACCATCACGCTAATAATCGTACACTACCGTTTCTTTCATCACGTCGATCGATGGTCCGTACACAGAGAAAGAGACGGTGTATGTGCTCCGCTATCCCCCTATAAAATATATCTTCCCCTACAGAGTCGGTGAGATGGCACAGGTGACCGGAGGTTGTGACTGGGGGGGAAAGCCCCCTCGTACACGCCTCGGGGAGCACGATGGGCTGAATTTAACTTGGAACAACCGTACGTTTTGTGGTGTTCTCTGTGCACGGTCAGTGCTCACACTACAGAACGAATGCCAGGCAACGATGTGCGCTCTCTCGATGGGAACCACGCTGGCTTCGTTCGAACCTTCAGTTTACTATCGTAAGCTCACTCGGACAGGTGAGCGCCGCGTTCGCGGCCGATCGGGCAATGACACGAATCCACGAAAATTCGACAGACTCGATACTTTAACTTTGCCATAATAAAAAAAATTAAATTTTATTTAACAAATTTATTATACCTGCATTTTAGATTCAAGAATGACAATAAATGTTACGTACAAAAAGTGCTATTACAATGTAAAAAGATCATCTCAAAAAGATTTCATTCATTAAATTAAATCGTGCAATTTTTTTTTTGTTTCTGATTTAACCACGGACTTTTAAGGATTCTGTTTTAAACTCGAAATATTTTAAATGTAGTGATTATTACATTATAAAAGAGGATTTTTTGTTTCTCGTAATTATAATGTCATACAAGTAAT